CAAATTCAAACTGAAGCTGAAGAAAATGAAAACAAGTCCACGAGAGCCAAAATATGACCTATGACCTTGAATATATTCCACCTGAATTTAGAGATCATCTGAAGAACAGATTTGAAACATTAAACACTAAAGACAGAAGACGAGACGAGTTGTGGGATGACATCAAGAACATCATACATGAAGAAAGCAAAAAGTCATTAAGAAGACAATGAAGGAAAAGGTCAGTGGATGTCAGAAAAGACACTGAAACTTGCTCTCCAGCATAGATATGCTAAAGCAAATGGAAGAAATGAGGAGGTCCAACAGCTGAAGAGAAAAAATTACATTAGGATTGTAAAATAAGTTTAGTAGAATTTTTTTTAAATGAAATAAAGTAGAATAGGAAACATGTATCACACACTTTGTAAATGTTGTTCCATAAAACTTTAAATTGATTTAAATATTATATATAAATGAATGTCCTGGGTCCTGATGTAGTCCTCAACTTTTAGTGGGGTTCTGTTTCAATGACTGTCAGAAGTTGATTCTGAGATAAGTCGAAGACATCATTTAAATTTTTTTTGGTTTTCATAATTACTGCTTTTTATAATCAGTATCTATAAATTTGAACTTTATTTGTATTTGGGTATGGGAGACCCTATATAAAACTTATGATGTATTTTAATATATACAATAAAAATACACAAATCATGTAAAAATGGTTGGTTATAAGTACGGTTTGTTGTAACTGTAATACATCATAAGTCTAGGACTACCCGTTTTGTGAGTTGTAGTTGAAAATGGAAAGCTATTCCTGTGACGAAACCAATGTCTTCAAAATGTTGAGTTCTTTGTAAATATTCAGGATCTGTATGAAGGTTTCTGTTTCCTCAATTGTAAAATAGGAATAACAGTGGTTGTGGTGGTTTTGTGCCGTGGAGTCGGTTCCAACTCATAGCGACACAGTACAGGGTTTCCGAGGCTGGAAATCTTTACAAGAGTAGAAAGCCTCATCTTTCTTCCGCACAACAGCTGTCAGTTTCGAACTGCTGACCTTGCGGTTCACAGCCCGATTTGTAACCACTATGCTACCAGAGCTCCTTATAGCTAAGTGCCTTAACCATCGAGTTACCAAGGTTCCTAATACTACTTACCAGAAACTATTAAAAGCTTTACATAAATTAATTTAATGAATACTCATGACAAACCTGTGAAAAAGTACTATTATTAAAATAGGGATAATAGTACCTATTTCACAGGATTGTTATGTCATGAGTATTTCATTAAATTAATTTATGTAAAGCTTTCAATAGTTTCTGGTAAGTAGTATTAGGAGTGCTGGTGACTCGATGGTTAAAGCACTCAGCTACTAACCAAAAGGTTGATGGTTTGAACCCACCAACTCCTCCTTGGAAGACTGATGTGGCAGCCTGCTTCTGTAAAGATTGTTGTTAGGTGCTTTTGACTATCTGCTCACAGCAAACCCATGTGCCAGAGTAGAACTGCCCTGTAGGGTTTTCTAGGCTGTATTCTTCACAGAAGCAGATCGCCAGGTGTTTGTATTGTGGAATCAGTTTGTGGGTTCACACCACTGATTGTCTCGCTAGCAGCCATGTATTTTAGCACTGCACCCTGCAGCCCTGCAGAGCAGTTCCTCTCTGCTGTGAGTTGGAATTGACTTGATGGTAACTCAGGGTTATATGATAGCTGTAATAGTGTGGCTGTTATCAATATCTCTTTGTGTACTAGCTAATCTGGTTTTTGTGAATTTTTCTTTTTTTTTTTTTATCTCTATAAAATGTTTCAAGTTCACTGTAAAAATATCAGCTCATATACAAAAGTTAAAAAGGAAGAAAAAGTCAATTACCTATAGTTCCTCCCCTACAGAAAACGAATATTAACCTTTTTTTGAGTCTTCATGCTTTTCTGTGTTAACATAAATGCGGTTATATATGTGGGTGTGTAAAATTTTGGGGTATAAAATTAAGAACACAGTATTTTACAACCTAATTTTATCACTTAACATTTTTCTCCATGTCAAAAGTTGTTCAGATTGACTGTATAGTATTATAGTATGGGGGAAAACTATTTAGTATTCATCTACTTACGCTATTGTTGATGGCTGTTAGAGCCACAATTATACATCTCTGTGTGCATGCTATTTTACATGGTTGCCAGTGAATTTTTTTTAGGTTCTTTTTTTCTTTTTTTTTTTTTTTTGATGCTTTTCTGCATCATTCAATAATTTGCCCAGACAATCCTTCTGTGTTAAACCTTAACCTCTATAAGTTATTGGAAGATAACATAGGGACAAAACTATGGGAATTTTTTTTTTTTTTTTTTTAGGATAAATTTCCAAAAATGAAATTACTAAATTAAAGGATATGCCCATTTAAAAGAAGCACTGTGCTATTGCCTGTCAAGAAGTTTATATCAGTTTATTCTCCCATGAGTAGTCTGAAAGTAGCCAAATTAGCCTCCTATAAAGAAAGTCTATTCATTAGAGGTTGGTTTTTAAAAAGCTTGTTTATTGAATGGATTTTCTGGGGGGGTTTTCTGGTTTATTTGTATTGCAGTAACAGTGATCTTTTTATTTTAGTCACACAAGATTTTAGTTTATTACGGGTTAAAATAGATAAAAGACTACAACCTTGAGATGGACTAAAACCTCAATGTAAACAAAACCAAAATCTTCACAACTGGACTGATAAGTAACATCATGATAGATGGAGAAAAGGTTGAAGTTGTCAGAGACTTCATTTTGCTTGGTTCCACAATCATCACTCATGGAAGCAGGAAAGACATAAGTGTTCAAGGCAAAGATATCAGTTTAAGGACTAAGGTATGGTATTCTCAGTAGCCTCATATGCATGTGAAAGTTGGCCAGTCAATAAGAAAGACCGTAGAATTGATGTCTTTTGAGACTGTAGAATTAGGACATTGGAGAAGAATGTTAAAAGTACCATGGACTGCCAGAAGAAAAAACAAATCTGTGCTGGAAGAATACAGTCGGAATGCTCCTTAGAAGTCAGGATAGCCAAACTTCATCTCTAATACTTTGGACATGTTATCAGGAGGGCTTAGGCCCTGGAGAAGGATATCATGCATGGTAAAGTTGAGATAAAAAGAAAAAGCAAACAAGAAGAACCTTCCCACCCCTCCACCCCCCCCACCCCAAGGAGATGGATTGCCACAGCAGCAGCTGCAGTGGGCCCAGACGAACACTGGTGAGGGTGGTGCAGGACTGGGCAGTGTTTATCCTCTTGTGCATAGGGTCACTATGAGTGGGAACCAACTCAGTGGCACCTGCAACAACAACAGTGGGTTAAAATAAATTCCAGTAATTAGATTGGCAACTTAAATCATTACTTATTACCATTTTTATGAACTATAGTGTGAAATGCAGATAAATAATTAGGGATATTTTAGTTTCCTACTTACGTTTGGTCATTTAATATTCTTCTAAATACTCATCTCCTTCTAAAAATTAAAACTGGAAGAGTTGATTGATAGCTTTCTTTATAAACCTTTGTATTTGCTTAAAACATGAACCATTTAACTTAGTGAATTTTCTTTTAATTGAGGTGTTTTTTTTGATAGGGTTAGTGCACTGAAAGGCTCCAAAGGAAAAGACCGGGAAATTCCTGTACCTGTGGGCATTTCAGTATCTGATGAAAATGGTAAAATTATAGGTGAGTGTACTCTAGTTTCTAAAGTTGTAAATAATACATTTTCCAAAACTGTTTGTGGGATGGTGACAAATAGCTTCTCTTGAGTTGCAAAAGAATATTTAACAATAACAGTTTCCACTATGAATTTGTAAAAGAGATTTATTTTTTTTCTTATATGTTCTGTATTTAAAATGATTTTGAAGATATAAGAGTACTGATTTTAAAACATTAGTTACTCTCTTTTCAACATTTTGCAGAAGTTTTTTCAGGGCCAAACTCTAAATATGAATTTAATCCTATAGGTTAATAGAGCTTTCAGTTTGTGAATTGGGTTGTCATACATTTAGTACTTTTGCTGTAAGTAAGTATCTTTGTCTCTCTTTTTAAGGAGAACTCAATAAAGAGAAGGACAGAATTCTGGTAGCTGAAGGAGGTCTTGGTGGTAAATTATTTACAAATTTCTTACCATTGAAAGGACAGAAACGAATAATTTACCTAGATCTAAAACTTATAGCTGATGTAGGTCTAGTGGGGTAAGTATCATTCATGCTTTTATTATTATAATTCTAGAGAGATAGTTCATGAGCAGGAAATAAATGTAAAATAATTATTTGGGGTTAGAATGTTTCTAGTTTATGGAATTTGATATTGTATGTGTACTTTGAGAAAATATTGCTAAATATAGCTATTTTCATAACGTCAACATAGAGTTTCATAGTTAGAATTCATTTATAAAAGGATGATCATAGCAATTGAGAATAGATCTGTCAGTATGTTACAGAATGGATGAAGAATGAAAAAAATCACCCAGATGTAGTATGGTTGGTAAGAAGGTCTAAGAATGCTACCAGATACTAAGGAAAAAATTAGAAACCCAAATAAACCATGTTTTTAAAAGGAAATAAAAAGGTTGAAAAAAATGGTTAACATATTTTTATAAGTCTTACTAGAGGTATTGAGGTATCTATCAAAATATTGGAGAGCAATGTAATCTTAAACATCAAATTTAACACTGCTGAACATTAAGTTGAATCTTGTTGTAACTGATTTTCTATCTTTCTAGTCTCTACTTAGGATCTGTTCTTAGCTCTGTCTACCTTACAATGCTTTTTCTGCTAGCCTTCATTCTTTCATTGAACACTGATATTTAGCTGTTCTGTCTCCCTAAAACAACCAGCCAACCAGAACAAAAACCAAGAACAAAAAACCAAGCCTGTTGCTAGTGAGTTGATTCCAATTCCTAGTGAAGAGCTACTCCTTCGTGTTTTCTTGGCTGTAATCTTCACAGAAGCAGGCCTTCTGTGGCACTGCTGGGTGGGTTTAATCTGTGAACCTTGAGTTTACGCTCTGGTAGCGTAGTGGTTACAAATTGGGCTGCGAACCTTAAGGTCAGCGGTTCGAAACTACCAGCCGCTCCGCGGGAGAAAGATGAGGCTTTCTACTCCCGTAAAGATTTACACCCTCGGAAACCCTGTACAGGGTCGCTATGGGTCGGAACCGACTCGACGGCACTTAACAACAACAACAACAACATTATGATTTACCCTTGAAAGGTGTTCACTTTGTGTTATTCAGTTTTAAGAGGACAGTCAACTATGAGATGGTCTTTATTATTTTTTTAAAGAATCTAAGCAAGTCTTTATATCCAACCATCAATTTATAGGAAATGCAGGGGCAAAGGAGCAGATTAAATGATGCCATGAGAATGCAAAGGAGCAAAGTCCAGACTGGGAAAAAAGTCCTTGTACAGATAACCCAGTTTCTTTAATTTAAAAATTTTTTTAAAAATTGCGAAGAGGAAATATGGGGTTGAATGAATCTAATTCAAAAGAGACTTAGACGAATTTAAGTATTGGGGATCACTTAGTGTGGTACTGTTGGAAAAGCACTGCACTGCTAACCACAAGGTCAGCAGTTCAAACCCACCAGTAGCTTCTCAGATATCATGTATGGAGTTGCTATGAGTAGAACCCATGCCATACACTTTATAACAACAATTATATCAGTGGAGCCCTGGTGGCACTGTAGAATAAGCACTGGATTACTAACTGTAATGTCAGCAGTTCAAACCCACAGCCTGTGCAGGAGAACATGACGCTTTCTGCTTCTAACCAGAGTCACAATGAATCAGAAGTGACCCAGTGGCAGTGGGATTATTATATCAATGTTTGTCCAGAGATCATAAGATTGCAAGTCGTTTTTTTGTTTATTAGTTTCTTTCTATTTTTCTGTGGATTCCAACTTTGTTTGTTTTTTCTCATAGTTAGACTAAGCAATTGCTTTGTTGTTGTGGATTCTGATTCTTGGTGATCTTAGGTCTAACAGAACGAACTGTTATTGCCCACTGCTGTGCCATTCTCAAACACATAATCCTCAGTATTGGTATGAGCTGTGTGTCCATTCGGTTTATGACAATTACTTTATTCTCTCATTATTGTAGCATATTTAGTGTCCAGCATGAATATGTCATTTCCATCTTTGTAAGTGTATTTTGTTTCTCAACTTTTTCAAGGTAATTTTTTATCTATATAAAACTTAATTTTAGATCTATTAAAGAGGTCTAGAATTGTTAGAATTTCAGAGGTAAGCAAGTACTATGATCCTGATACTTGTCATTTATCTTTGATTATCTCATTTCAGATTCCCAAATGCTGGAAAATCCTCTTTGCTAAGTCGGGTTTCTCATGCAAAACCTGTGATTGCAGATTACGTGTGTAAGTTTAATTTGATTGTCTATTTTATTTTATGGAGGTAAATTTTTTAAAACTAATATTTCTCTGAGCTTAAATAAAACGACAACTTTGGGGTATCCTTAGTTTGAAGACGCTTTTGTAGATAGGATACCATTCATTTCACACTAACATTTGAAACCTTCAGAAAAAGTTCCTTATACCTGTTAGTTTGTAGTATTTATTGTATTTCCCTGCTTCATAACCATTTATTTGGTGCAGTTATAATTTTATAAGCATCTACCCTGTGTCAAAGGAGCTCTGGTAGTGTAGTGGTTATAAATCGGGCTGCTAATGTCATGGTCAACAGTTTGAAACTACCAGCTATTCTGCAGCAGAAAGATGAGGCTTTCTGCTCCCGTAAAGATTTACACCCTCGGAAATCCTGTACAGGGTCACTATGAGTGGGAACTGACTCCATGGCATATACCTGAGGCTGTAAATCTTTATGGGAGCAGAAGACCTCATCTTTCTCTCATGGACCAGCTGGTAGTTTCAAACTGCCAACCTTGAGCATAGCAGCCTGATTCGTAACTCTATAGCCCCCTTGTATATAACTGAAGACTTGTATATCACTAAAGAATAATAAGGTTTTGTGAAAAAATGGAGGTGACTACTTTAGACTTCTTTGAGGAAGAATGATGAGATATGAAGAATACAGGCAGTCCTGCTGCTTCCATGAACATTGATTATGTATCTAAGCAAAATGAAGTATATTTATTGGTGTTAAACTAAGTAATCCCTAAAATTCCTAACATGGATATAATCTAAATTGAAAAAGAAATATTTATTCTATGCATAAAACTAATTTTCAGACTACCAGCCTTTATTCTAGTTTTAATTTATTATTGTTGTTATTGTTTTAGTTACGACGTTAAAGCCTGAACTTGGAAAGATTATGTATAATGATTTTAAACAGGTGAGTATTTTTAAAGTAAGGCGTTTGGTTAGAAGTAGGAGTATTTGCTTTTGGTTGTTTGTTGCTAGTTGCCATCATGTCCGTTCCAATTCATGATGATCCCATGTATGCAGAGTAGAACTGTTCCATAGAACTTTCAGATTCAATTTACTAGGCCTGTCTCCTGAGATGCTTCTGCGTGGGTTCAAACAGCCAACTTTTCAGCTAATAGTCTAGCACTTAACCATTTGCACCATTCAGGGCTCCTGGCTTTTGAATACTTGAATTTCCTGAAATTTACCTGTCTTTGATTTTAGTGGGAGAGAAGTAGCAAGATTTGTTTTTTGATAAGTAATGCCATATTGAAACGAATTCTGCTAACCATATTGCAATAAAATATTGTATAAAAAAATCAACTTCTTATACTTCCAAAGATTAGGACCAGTTTTTCACTACGATATCACATATCTTTACTTCCTTAATCTGTTTCTTGTAATTGCAAGTCTGTATGTTACTGCCATATTTGATGATTGATTATTATTTCTTGAAGATATTTTGTGAAGTTCAAGGTAGTGATTCTATTATAATTCTATCTTTGAAAAAAAAAAACAACAACACTTTGGATATGTGTTTTTATTTGGTAAGAAATAACTTACAGACCTTATATATAATTGGAGAGAATCAAAAAATAAAAACGAGAGTAAAAAGATCTATAACTTCAAAAAGGTTATGAAAAAATGGAACTAAAAGATAGTGGAATTTCTCCACAACCTTTTAGAAATCTTCTCATATATAATGTAAGTAAATGCTTATTCTTGACCTAAAAATTAAAACAAATTGAATAGCCAAATGAGATGAATGAACAATTACTTGTGGTGGTGGTGGTTATCTGTCATGGATTTGGTTCTAATTCTTAGTGACCCTGTATAGGGTCTGAGGCTGTAAATCCTTTCAAGAGTAGAAAGCCACATCAAACTGCAGACCTTGAGGTTAACTGCCCAACTCATAACTCACTATGCTACCAGAACTCCTTGAACAATTACCTAGGATGAATTAAAGTAGTAAATGATCATTTTGGGGGAAAATGTTCAGCACCATGAATAATTAAAGCATAATTTAAGTGACTACTTCATACCTGGAGTCCAGGTGTGGTGCTGTGGGTTAATGCACTAGAGTGCAAAGCTGTTTGAACTGCGAGTTTGGCAGTTCAAGCTCACCAGTCACTCCTCGGAAACGCTATATAGGGTCGCTATGGGTCGGAACCAACTTGACAGCACTTAACTACAAAACTTCATACCTAAGGAGCCTGGTAGCTAGTGGATTGATTATGTGTTGGGCTGCTAACCATAAGGTCAGCAGTTCAAATCTAACAGCTGCTCTGTGGAAGAAAGATGAGGTTTTCTGCTCCTGTAAAGATTTAAAGCCTCAGAAACCCTATGTAGGGTCGCTGTAAGTCAGAATCAGCTTTACAGCAAGCTGCAGCAGCAGTTCATCCCTTTTTAAATGTAGTCATGATTCACAGGCCTGTGAAGAAACAAGTATTACTAACCGTGCACTGATGTTAATGTAATTGACATACTTTCTGGAGCAGTCACTCAGTGTGGAAGGATAAACATACTCCTTTGCCATTAGACCAAAGGAAATGAATGGTGCCTGGCTATGGAGTCCTGGTGTGGTGCTGTGGGTTAATGCGCTGGGCTGCAAAGTCATTTGAACTGCAAGGTTGGTAGTTCAAGCTCACTAGCTGCTCCTCAGAAACTCTATACAGGGTTGCCATGGGTCAATACCAGCTCAGCTGCACTTGATAACAACAACAACATCATTACTGAACATTTTGATAAAAGATTCTGTAGAATAATCCTGATCAAAAGGGAGAAAATGCAGAACAGGTTTCAAATTCTCTTGGATTCCAACTTGGATGAAGCCCAACGTATTGACCTGACATAATCCTTAAACTTTAAGCCAAAAATATCCCTTGATATAATCTTAAAATTGAACAGTTGTTTAACTTAACTAGTAAAGAATATGTGCTTTGAGCATTGTGCTCATTTAATATTTATCTGCATATGGTCAAATAGGTTGGATAGGAAACTTAGGGATCAGTGAGTTTATGTTCATGGGGAGGAATAGCTCAGGAAAGGGGGATGAGAATAGTTCCACAGCTCGAAGAATGAATGTCACTGAAATTGGTATATGGTTTGCTATGCATAGTCTCAACAAAAAGTAAGTTACTAAATAATAAAAAGAATAAGCACAGCCTTCGATATGGATTACATCTCAATGTCAAGAAAACAAAAATCCTCACCACTGGACCAATAAGCAACATTCTTATCAATGGAGAAAAGATTGAAGTTGTCAAGGACTTCATTCTTCTTGGATTAACTATCAACACTCACGGAAGCAGCAGTCAAGAGATCAGACGACGTATTGCATTGGGCAAATCTGCTGCACAGGAACTTTTTAAAGTATTGAAGAGCAGAGATGTCAGCTTGAGGACTAAGGTGCGCCTGACCCAGGCCATGGTATTTTCAATAACCTCATATGGATGTGAAAGCTGGACAGTGAATAAGGAAGATCGTAGAAGAATTGATGCCTTTGAGTTGTGGTGTTGGAGGAGAATACTGAAAGTGCCATGGACTGCCAAAAGAACCAATAGATCTGTTTTGGAAGAAGTGCAGCCAGAGTGCTGCTTGGAGGCCAGGATGGCTAATCTTCATCTCTCATACTTTGGACATATTGTCCGGAGGAAACAGTCTCTGGAGAAGGATGTCATGCTGGGTAAGGTGGAGGGTCAGAGAAAAAGAGGAAGACCCCTAACGAGATGGATTGGCCAGGTGGCATCATTGATGGTGTCAAGTGTGGCAGCAGTAGTGAGGTTGGCCCAGGATTGGACATTGTTTCATTCTGCTGTGCATGGGGTCACTATGAGTCAGTTCCAACTCGATGGCATCTGACAACAACAACAACAAGTTCATTCAATAATAGAAATATGATCCTATGGATTAATTAAAAAGAAATAGTAGGCTTATATTTATTTATAATAATGATGTAGCTATGAAAAATGAGAAGACCTCAAAAATTATATGTTATTACATAGTAAGTAGATTTATAAATATTGGATGGTATTACTGTGTTGTTTGTTGTTAAGTGCTGTCGAGTTAGCAACCCTGTGGTTTCCGAGGATCAGCTGGTGGTTTTGAACTGCCAGTCGTACACTTAACAGTCCATTGCTTATCCTAGAACACCATGCCAGGACTCTAATATTAATACAGAGAACAATATTTGGAAGAAAAGAGAATGCGGTTTTTAGCCGATTTTTAAATGAAATCATTGTGACCCTAAAGGACAGAATAGAACTCCTGTAGGTTTCTGAGACTAACTCTTCATGGGAGTAGACAGGCTCGTCTTGCTCCTATGGAACAGCTGGAGATTTTGAACTGTTTGCGATTAGCAGCCTAAGGTTTATTGATCTACCAAGACTCCTTAAGGAAATCAGTAAAGAACCTAAAAAAAGTTTGGAACAAGCTCTCTGTTGTATACAGTGCACTGTCTGATAGGCACAACTTCCTTTGAGACTGAATTCATTAACCATGGAACAGTGTTTCTCTTCTCTTATTGCTTTAAAGAATAGCCTGAGTACTTTCTAGGCTGTAATAGGATATACTCCTGTAACAATTATAAATAATAAATAGTGCCTGGGCTGGTGTGGAATCCAAATTTCTTGAGCATAGGGCCTGTTGTTGTTGCTAAGTGCCATCAAGTCACTTCTGACTCATAGCGACCCTGTGTAGGTTTTCACCACTCATCTGCCACTGTTGTGTATTGTTTTGCTGCTGGAAGCGATGCCACTATCATTTGAAATACCAGCAAAGTCATTTGTGGTGGACAGGTTAGAGTGGAACTTCCAGACTAAAGCTAGGAAGAAGGAGAGGTGGACTACTTCTAAATGTATATCCACTGAAAACCTTATAAATAGCAGCAGAACATTGTCAGATACAGGGTTGGAAGATTTGAAAGTACCTCAGTTTGAAAGACACTCAAAATAATATAACTAGGAAAGAGCTGCCTCCTCAAATAAACTTACTAAAATGACATGAACTGAGCAAAGCTTTCGGGACCTTAATTTGCTGATGAAATACAACTCAAAATGAGTAGAAACCATTATAAACATCCATTAATAAATGAAACATGGAATATATATACTAAGTGTGAATCTAGGAAAATTATAAATTGTCAAAAGTGAAATGGAACACTTGAAGATCGATATCCTAGGCATTAGTGAGCTGAAATGGACTGGTATTAACTATTTTGGATGAGACAATCTTGTGATTTATTGTACTGAGAATGACATATGGAAGAGGAAATGGCATCACATTAATCATCAAAAAGAACATTTCAAAATCTGTCTCACAGTAAAATGTTATCTGAAAGGATAATAGCCATACCCCTACAAGGAAAACTAGTTAATACCACTATTATTCAAATTTATTCATTAACCATGAAAGCCAGTGATAATGAAATTTTAAAAATCTCCCAACCTTTTCAGTCTGAAATTGATCATGTAATCAAGATGCATTAATAATTATTGGTTATTTAAAATGCAGAAAACAAAGAGGAAGGATCAGTAGTTAGAAAATATGACGTTGGTTATTATAGAAATGATGCTGGAAATTCATGATACAATTTTTCAAGAACAACAACTTATTAATTTCAAATGCCCTTTGAAAACAGCATAAAAGTAAGAGCACATACACACATCTGACAGCCAATGTTACTCTCAGTGGAGAGAAACTGAAAGTATACCCTTTGTGAACAGGAACCAGACAAGAAGCACTTTATCAACACTCCTATTCAATATTGTGTTTTAAATCATAGCCAGAGCTATAAGGCAAGAAAGGGAAATTAAAGGCATCCAAATTGACAAAAAAGTAGATTTTTTTTTTTTGTAGATTATATGATCTTATCTGGTAGCGTAGGGGTTATGAATTGGGCTGCTGACTTCAGGGTCAGCAGTTTGAAACTACCAGCTGCTCTGTGGGAGAAAGATAGGAGGCTTTTTATGCCTGTAAAGATTTACAGCCTCAGAAACCCTGCACAGGGTCGCTATGAATCGGAACTGACTCCACAGCACATCACCACCATAACCACCATACATAGAAAATCTTAAAGACTCAATAAAAACAGTATTGAAACTCATTGAAAGATTCAGCAAAGTGGCAGGTTATAAGATAAATATGAAAAAATCAGTTGGATTCTCTATCCTAAAGACAGCTCTGAATAGGAAAACAATACCATTTACAATAGTCACCCAACACATGAAACACTTAGGAATAAACCTAACCAGAATAACAAGACTTATATAAAGAAAACTACAAACTGTTACAACAAGAAATTGAAAGAGATTTACAAACATGGAAAAATATCCTTTGCACTTTGAAGTGTAAGGAAGACTTAGCATTGAAAAACTGTCAGCACTACCCAATACAACAATCTACAGGAATACAGAGTCGCTGTACCAAAAAGAAATGTTCAGCCATTTCAAAAGGTATCATAGGGTACCACTGGTACTGAAGGACAGAGTCCAAGCCGCACTAAACGGTACTGGCGAAAAACAGCCTCTAGGACTTGACAGATTACGAATTGAAATCTTTCAACTAATGAAGCACTCTTCTATGCCAAGAAATTTGCAAGACAGCTGTGCAGCCAACTGATTAAAAAAAAAAAGAGCCATATTTGTGCCCACTCCAAAGAGGTGACCCAACAGCATGTGGAAATAACCAAACAATATCTTACTATCACATGCAAGTCAAATTTAGCTGAAGATAAATAAGAAATAGTTGCAATAATATATCAACAGAGAGCTACCAGAAATTCAAGCCTAATTCAGAAGAGGATTTGAAATTAAGGGTATCATTGCTGACATCAGAAGATTCTTGGCTAAAAGCAGAAAATACCAGAAAGATGTTTGCTTGTGATTTATTGACTATGCAAAGACTTTTTTCTGTGTTGACCATGATAAACTATGAATAACATTGTGGAAAAATGGGTAATTCAGAACAGTTTACCTGGTCAAACTTGTATTTTCAATTGCCTCGGATACTTTTGAAAATAGTCAGGAAGACTGTAACCCAGCAATATAGGGTTTCTTAGGAGTGGCTGATGGGTTTGATGCACCGACCTTGTGGTTAGCAGTCAGTGTTTACTTATCCTATAGCACCACACCGGTAGTCTGGGTTTAGGGACCATTTTTTTTTTTTTAAGTGTCCGAGGTGATTGTGATACGCAATGAAAACCACACATGTAGAATGAGGGAGATAACTCTTACCTGAAAAAAGAGCAGGACACTTACCCCTTTACTAGAATGGCCAGTAGTCCTCCTGGTATAATATGAACAGAGAACAGAATAATAGTGCCAAACAATTCTAAATAGAATTTCTAATTTGCAACTATACAACTATGCTTGTTATTTAAAAGCCTGGGAGACTTAAGAATTTAGATTGTAGAAGTTGATATCCTATAAAAAGTTCTTATTGAACAATATGTGGAATTCTAAGGATTGTTAGATTAATTAGTAAGTAAAAATAGGATTTTAACTACTATTATCAAAGGATTTCAGTTCTTAATAAATTTGTTTTGCCATAAATGAATCTTGACATTTTTAAAGATGAAGTGGTAATCATGAAGTAGGAACTGTATTTGAAATATCATGAAAACTTTTGGATATGATTGTACTCATTTTTTAATGTTTTCTTTTTCTTCTAATGTTTTAACTTTGTGTTAGATATCAGTAGCTGATCTTCCAGGCTTAATAGAAGGAGCACATATTAACAAAGGAATGGGCCACAAATTCCTGAAGCATATAGAAAGAACTAAACAACTACTTTTTGTTGTAAGTCATTTGCATGCCAATTTAATGTTTAAATGAATGTGGAATCAATGAATTAAGTTTTCAAAATTTATGTAGTGATAAGCTTTGAAGATAAAGTAGTATATGTTAGTCCAATAACAGTTCAGATGAGAGTATGAGATTGTCTTTATTAGTATAATTGTTAAATCTTTACTAGTTTCTTAGTTTATTAATGACTGCATTTTACCAAAAGTTATCATTATTTTGACAACTTAGTTTTTCTTATTTAAGCTTCTGAAATTATTAGTATAGATTGAGAAATTATTTTCAGCTTGAGAGGCTAAAACATTTTGAAACACAGAAATGTATAGTTGTGGTTCTTATGTTAAAGGCTGTCAATTTTTCTTTTTATTAGGTTGATATTTCTGGATTTCGACTTTCTCCCCAAACTCAATACAGAACTGCCTTTCAAACTATATTACTGCTTACAAAAGTAGGTTTTCTGCTTTCATATGTTTTGTGTCTGGTCTAATGTATGTGCATGTAGGATTTAAGAATAATATGATAATTAAAATAATTACATATCCCAGATAACCTTTGATGGCAGTTGAATTATCTGTACTTAACTATCTCCAGTTCTTCAGCATTTGCCTATTACTCTCTTTCTAATCCCTATTAGATATTTCTCAGACTTTTTCTTATTTGAACTCAAGCATGTAACTCTCTCTCTGCTCGAAGCATTCTCCTTTCTTGACTCCTAGCTTTTAGCCTATTCTGAGTCTATTTATCAACTTATTTTTAGGCTTTTTTCTGTTCATTCTTCAAATATCATTCTTCAGAGTTCTGCCCTACAATTCTTAAATAACTGACCCACTTGTAGCAAGCACTTCAGTTAAGGAGCTCTAGTGATGTCACAGTTCAGTGCTCAGCTGCTAACCAGTGTAACTGTAATACTGGGTCACTGTCAGCCAGAAATGGACTCAACTAAAGTTAAAATAGAGCTCTGTTGGCCCAGTGCTTAAACATTGGGCCGATAACTGAAAGGTCCACAGTTCAAACCCACCAGCCGTTCTGCAGGAGAACGATGAAGCAATCTGCTGCCATAAAGATTGGTGGCCTCGGATCCCGAGGCAGCATTTCTGCTCTGTCCTGTAGGGTTGCTGTGGGACAGGATCAACTCAATGACAGTGGGTTTGGTTTTTAAGTTACAGTTAAAATGCTGAAGACTCCCACTGTGTCTGAAACCCAGATCTTTTGTTCTAACTTTAGACCTAGTGGACATTTTGATTGAATGTCCTATATACACCTTAAACTTAATATGTATAAAACTAAACTCATTTTTCTTTTCTTACCAGCCTTCCCCAAAACTTTACAGGGTAGTTGTCTTGATTCTATTTTATTACCACATACATCAAGCCCTGTCAATTGTATTAAATATTCCTAAAGCCCATCTACTTGTCTTCATCCACAGTGTTCAACTCATCAACTCCTTTCATTGGAATGGAGTATAAGTCCTTTCCATCTGGTCTTCCTGCTTCTCAACTCACTTCTCTCCAATCCATCTACTTTGTGAAAGAACTAAGCTAGGTCTTATTATTTAAAACTTCTGTGGCCCTCCATTGCTCTTAGGTTAATGTTTACAGGTGTGTGGTTTATGAGCATTGGCAGGACTGAGGCCCTACCTATCTCAATAGCTTCATCACTAACCACTCTGAGCTCCCCTGTCCCATTATAGTTTACATTCCAGCCATATTAGACTTCCTGGATTTCTCTTACCTTCTTACCCTCATTTCTTTCTGACTCACACACATTCTTCAGGTCTCACCTTAAATGTGGATCTCCTCAGGAGCTCTGTCCTGCCTCTGCTAATCTAGTTAGGTTTCCTTTGTGTTATCACAGCACCCCACATACCCTGTCCTAGAACTCATCAATCAAAGTCAGTTGTGATTGCCTACTTTATTGCTTAGTTTCCTTATTCCATGAGGTGAGGATTCAGTAAGTATTTTTAAACAATAACAGTGGCTAACACAAGCCCTTTACTTGAGTTATCTCTTTTAGTCTTTACAGAATTCTGTGAGGTAGTTACAGGGCTTTTGAGGAGCAGGTGATAGATTTGAACTGCTGAGCTTAGGGTTAGCAATCCAGTACTTATCTTACAGTGCCTCACCAGGACTCCAAAAGAAAAAAACTCAAAACACTGATTGTGCTTCATTACCATAACAAAGCCAACCCATTCCCAAATGGGGTTATAACCACAGTTATGTTGTTGTTAAGTGCCCTGTATAGGGTTTCCCAGGAAAGGCTGGTGATCTTGAACTTCCAACCTGTGGTTCAAACTGACCTTGCAGTGCATTAACCTACAGCGCCACACTAGGACTCCAACTACAGGCATTGTTGTTGTTAAGTGCTATCAAGTCGGTTCCACCCATAGCCACCCTATATAGGGTTTCCAAGGAGCAGCTGGTGAGCTTGAACCACTGATCTTGTCGTTCAAATGACTTTGAGGTCCAGTGCATTAACTCACAGTGCCACATCAGGACTCCAACTAGAGGCACTGTTGTTGTTAAGTGCCGTCGAGTCGATTCCGACTCATAACGACCCTGTACAGGGTTTCCGAGGCTGTAAATCTTTACGGGAGCAGAATGCCTCATCTTTCTCCCACGGTACAGCTGGTAGTTTCGAACTGCTGACCTTGCGGTTCACAGCCCGATTCGTAACCACTACGCTACCAGAGCTCCTAGAGGTTAGGATTTACTTCACATTTGGGGATGTGGGGGAAGGGAGCGGGGCAGCTACAATTCAATCTATAACAGCATCATACATCAGATTGAGAGTACCGAAGTCCAGATAGTGACTTGAATCATGAAAGCACAGCTGTATCTAGGATATCGTATGTCTTCATGTTTCACTAACAAATGATTTAACCAGCAAGCATTTTCTGAATTTCATTTGTTAATCAGTTTTGTGGTTGTTAGAAGTTATTGCATTTCAGAGATGTGCACAGGTTATAGATTATACAGGCTTATAAAATAAAGACGTTATCAAAGCCTTTACCAAAGAAGTAATTTATATGGATAATTTTATTTAATTATTTGGTTTTTCTCTTTTGGCTTAAAGGAGTTAGAGTTGTACAACAAGGAACTTCAAACTAAACCAGCACTTTTGGCAGTTAATAAAATGGATTTGCCTGATGCCCAAGAAAAATTCCAGGAACTGATGAACCAACTGCAGAATCCTAAAGGTAAACCCATTCATTCATTTACTGCACATAAAAGGAATGTCAACTGTGTGCAGACACTGCTACTAGGTGCTACAATGGAAGAAAAGGAAACTGACAGTTTCTACTCTCAGAAACATGCTCATGTATTTGTCTGTTTGAAGAAAGAATGTATGAAATGCTTAACCAACCCAAACCCACTGCCATTACAGCAATTTCAATTCATAGTGATCCTGTATAGGGTTTCTGAGGCTGTAAATCTCTATAGGGACAGAAAGCTTCCTCTTTCTCCTGAGGAGCATCTGATGGGTTTGAACTGCTGACCTGGAGGTTAGTAGCCTAACATGTAACCCACTATACCACCAGGGCTCCTTATTTAAAAGCAACATTGTGATATAATTATTGTCAAGCTCCAGATTGTGTGATATAACATTAAGTTAAAGGACACTAGTGAAAAGAGAGATTATTATTAATTTAAAAACAGTCTTCATAAAGAAGTAAAACAAACTGAACTCTTAAAGAGTGAATAGGGTTTGAATAACGAGGGAAACGTCTGTGTCTACATGAGGTGTTACAGTTAATCCATACATTTCACAGATCATAGAACTTCTGGTTCCTGAACACATTGCCATCAAGTCCACCCTCACTCAGACAGAGCGTATAGAACAGGGTAGAACTGCCCCAGGCAGTTTGCAAGCCTGCAGATTCTTCCGGAGGTAGACTGCCTCATCTTTCTCCTGAGGAGCAACTGGTGGGTTTGAACTACCAACCTTTTGGTAAGCAGCCAAAACCACTGTGCCAGCATAACTCCTCTGGCTCCCCTGTTGTTGTTATTGTTAGGTATCATAAACCCACACATTATCATTTTAAAACAGCCAGTAGTGCAAAAGAGGTGTGTTTATTTGTAAGCCCTACTGATCTCTGGAGACTATGACTTTAAATAAGAACTTGAGTACTCCTATGTATAAGAAACCCTGGTAGCATCGTGGGGCTCTTAAACACAAGGTTACGAGTTGGGCTGTTAACCACAGGATTAGCAGTTCAACTCTATCAGCTGCTTTGAGAGAGAAAGATGAAGCATTCTGTTACTGTAAAAATTCACAGCCTCAGAAAAGCTATACAGGGTAGCTGTGCATTGGAACCATCTCCACAGCACACAACCACCACTACTACTCTTAAGGAAATGTGACAGAAAACTGTATGCTGTCATTTCACAAGCATCTGTTTGTTTGAAATTTACTCTTGAATAACCACTTTGTATAAAGGGACTCTCCAAAATTGTGACTACTGACCTTTGCAGAGTCCCCCCCCCCCCCCATAAATACATACAGTAATGATGCTCTCGTTTTCCTGAGTCCAGTACAGAACCTCTTGTGAAAACTAGATAAAGGGTAGACAGCCACTGAGGGAAATACTTTTAAATAGTACTGATTTCTGTGTTTTTTCCTTGGAATAAAAATAAGGGGAAATTGATAATGGTGTGCTAGGACTAAAAAACAACAACAAAAGGTCCTTTCTCAAACCCTCTAAAGAATATCTACCCTCTGTAATACACTTCTTGGAGCTTTTTTTAACTATTAGTTCCTTCCTTTGGTATAAATATGTCTTGGAATTGATAACTACCTAGTTTCTACACCTTAATGTTTGCTATAATATGATGATTAGATCTATTGGCTATTTGATCTTGGAGAATTCAGAGGCAGCATAGGAGAATAGATAACTCAAGAGTTTTTGACTATTCTGTACCATCGTAGACTAAAATGGACTCCCTTGATGGTTCCTAATTAAGCCTTCTGAACTTTCTTAGGAAGCTCAGAAACCAGGATCCCTGTGGACTTGTTCAATGCTTTTCAGTCCAGCTTTTCGAGTTCTTAACAGTGTTAACTGATTTAGTCAGGGTGCATGCCTCTTCCCTTGACTTGAATGCAGGGAAAAGAAGCATAACAACTATCGGACATAGATTAGACTTGGCAGAAATGGTCTCCCCTTGAATTCTCTCCGCATTTTTTCCTGTTTATTATGGATCCCAGCATCGATGATGATAAGCATATACTTCGGAAAGTTAAAGGACTCCACTGCACTGAGGCAAGCTGTTGCTGCTGTTGCTGTTAAGTGCTGTGGAGGCGGTAGCTACTCATTAGGTGCCACTGAGTTGGTTCTGACTCATAGCGACCCAGTGCACAGCTGAACAAAACACTTCCTGGTCCTGTGCCATCATCACAATTGTTATATTTGAGCCTATTGATGCTACCACTGTGCCAGTCTATCTCATTGATGATCTTCCCCTTTTCTGCTGACCCTACAGTTTACCAAGCATGATGTTCTTCTCCAGGAACTGGTCCCTCCTAATAACATGTCTAAAGTATGAGAGAGGAAGTCTTGCCATCCAAGGCTTCCAAGGAACATTCTGGTTTTACTTCTTCCAACACAGACTTGTTTGTTTTTCTGGCAAATGGTACTTTTAATATTCTTTCCACCACCATAATTCAAAGGCATAGATTCTTCTATAGTCTTATTCACTGTCCAACTTTAACATGCATATGAGGCTATTGAAAATACCATAGTAGGGTCAGGCTCACCTTAGTCCTTAAACTGACATCATTGCTCTTGAACACTTTGAAGAGGTCTTGGGCAGCAGATTCACCTAATACAATATGTCTTTTTATTTCTTAACTGCTATGTCCATGAATATTGATTGTGGATCCACGCAAAACGAAGTCTTCAACAACATCTATCCTTTCTCTTTTCTATGATACTTTTTTATTGGTCCAGTTGAAGACCTTTGCTTTCTTTACATTGAGGTTCAAGCCATACTTCATCAGCAAGTATTTAAGTCCTCTTTTTCACTTCTAGCAAGTACCGTTTATCATCTGCATATTGCAGCTTGTTACTGAGTTTTCCTCCAATCCTGATGTCATGTTCTTCTTCATATAATCCATATTATCTGATTATTTACTCAGCATACAGATTAAATGAGTATGGTGAAAGGAGACAACCCTGGTACACACCTGTCAACTAAATGATTTAAAACTATTCAGTATCCCCTTGTTCTAACAACTGCCTCTGGTCTATGGACAGTTTCCTCATGAGCACAAGTAAGTATTCTGGAACACCCATTTTTCACGATGTTATCCATAATTTGTCATGATCCACAGAGTCGAAAACCTTTACATAATCATTAAAGCACAAAAC